GGTGGAAGTTTCGCCTAGGGCGCGAAACTTCCTTGCACCGGCCCTGGCTGTAATATCATATAACAAAAAGGACCCATGTAAAAATAAAACCAGACAGGATTATGTTACCCAAGAAGGATTCCTTTCCCATGTGACCTACAGCTTAGCTATATGAGAAAGTTGCAACATTTTAACTTAAATCCATTTTAAATCTGGGTTAGTTAAACCGGTGCAGGCCCCTGTGCAGACATTCTTATTCTGGTTGAAGAATAGCTTGTTTGGGTTTATCTGGGTAAATTCCCAAAACTTAAAAACCAAAATAATTGCTATCAAATGGGCATAAGGCAGCACTGGTGCAAAAGTCCCCCCGTCTGTCCCCTCCCCCCGTTATAAGAAACACCCTGACAACCACAAACCTGAAAATAAACAGCCCGATTAAAATGAATGGATTTTACAACATGGCCATAAAGTCTTGTCCTGCAGTGACTCCATTCAGGCAATCCACTGAGGGTAACGCTGCCATGCATGGATGCCGGATGAAGGCCTTAGACCCTACTGCCCAGCAAACCAATTCCAAGGGCTTTCTCACCCTGGATGTCACTGCTCGCAGCAGTTCAGGACCCATACTGAGAGCATTCCACTTGGCCATAACCACTGTGACATACGCATTCAGGCCCTCATCCTGCAATGATCTGTCAAACTACGGGTTGTCTTCAAGGTTAGCAGTCCAATGGGGTACCCAAGGGAGGCTGAAAGACTGTCTTAGGCCCCAATTTTTCATTACAGATCCACTAGTGCAGGTGATTGCAAGATCAGGGCCAAATATGTTCTCCCAAACTCTCTGCCTCTGCTAACCAAAAAGCCACGCACAGTACGGCACAGATCACACTGAAGTCTTTAGTGCTGGGCTCTTTAAGGGAGTAAGATTGATTTGGGTTGGTCTGGGAGAGCACTGCAGAGAAAAATCACGTGTTAATCACTTTTACACACACACACACACACACACACACACAGTCTTCTGACCAAAGAAAAGCACTTACAGCCTTGGGAAAACAGCAGCTACTGTCACGACTGGCTAGAAGTCTCAATCACCCAACTCGTCGCTGTATGAAAAAATGACAAAATGATCACTGAGTGGCAGGTTTTCACTAGTGAATTAGCATTCAGTCCGCTCCGCAAAACATTTAAGAGATACACAGCACAACACAGCATGGCTTAATCCTTCTGTAAGGCTGGGCATAAATAAAACACGAAGGAAAGCGTCACCAAGAGGGAGTGAGAATCAGGAAAAAAAAGTCAGCCTTCTGCACGGGGGAGAATTAGAGATGGGTTGAATTGGCACCATCAGTTCCTGGAAAAGTCAGAGGTTTAATGCCCCAGATCCCATTAAGTACAGAAGGAGAGATTCAAATTAGCACTTGATCCTTTCTATTAACTGTTCTGACAAAGCCGTGACCTCCAAGCCTCACACAAAGGGGACAGAGCTTAGGCCACCAGCCCCAGAAAACTGAATCACAGAATTTCCGGCGAGTAGGAGGAGCAGACTCGCATTTATAAAAGCCCCAATCAATATAGCATCTATTCCTCAATGACACAGAAGGCAAAACGTTGGCAATACAAGGGTTAGCGTTTCTTGCTACTCCGATCAGTGTGTCTAAGTGGAGATCTAAAATACTCCTCATCTGCCTTCCTCAGGCTGACTCCAACCCAGTAATTTATTTGTTAAACCCCTAAGCAGCAAGGAGGCAGGAGACGAATTTCATCAAGGTCATGGAACCATGCACAGAGATAACCAGTGTCATAATTGGCAATAACTAGCAAATGTTTTACCAAAAACAATAAAACAAACCAGAGAGTTACCGAGGCAGAGATGGGGAAGTGTATTTCCTTAGGTGAGATCTAAGGAAAAGTTACCTTAAAAGAGGAGTATTTCTTGTAACGTACACCACACGCACAACCTACACATAAATAACTTTGTCAAGTAGCCGAGGCGTAGCCGTGTGAGACTGTATCCACAAAAACAATGAGGAGTCCAGTGACACCTTAAAGACTAACAGATTTATTTGGGCATAAGCTTTCGTGGGTAAAAAACCCACTTCTTCAGATACATGGAGTGAATATTACATGCATCTGAAGAAGTGGGTTTTTTACCCACGAAAGCTTATACCCAAATAAATCTGTTAGTCTTTAAGGTACCACCGGACTCCTTGTTGATTTTATAAATATAGTAACTTTGTTCCCTTCCCTCGACAAGGCATCACCAAAACCCACACCCCATAAATAAATCACTCCTCACACACACACACAATCTCCCTACCCATAAACGACTGACTGAGCTCCTCCCTTCACCTCCTCCCGTCCCAGAATCCTCCACGGAACAGAAACCAAGTGCACTCTGCAAATTGACTTGTGCAAGAAGAAAGAGCCCTGACCATGGTGCTTTCTTACACACACAGCCCAAGACAGGGGAGGGGAGGAACTTCCTCATATTCCTTCCTCCCCAAAAAGCACTAGCTGACCCCTCCCCCATCTCCCCTAGGAGTGGGGCTCACCCCAAATCCAAGTCTAATTCTGCAAACCCACAGCCCACCAGCTGACACGTGCTCTTGTGCACGGACAGCCCAGACTGCCCCCGCTTGGCCGCACAGCAGCCCATCCCCCTGGGCTCCCCACCACCACCCAGCAGTTTGCAAGCTGGGCAGAGTGCACGGCGCTGCAGCTGGCTCTGCTCCCACCACACGTTTCGCAGCGGCTCGCCCCACGCAGCAGCCGGGCAGAGCCCCCCAGCAGGGCCCGCCGCCCAGGACATACGCGAGCCCCCTCCCCCCGTACTCACCCGAAGGGCCAAGCCACGGGAAATCCTCCCTGGGCCGGGCCGGCTGCAGCTGCGGGCTCCGCCTCCCGCACCGGCGCACAGGGCTCCGCTCCGCCTCTGCTAGTAAAGTCTATGGTTCACTCTGCACTGGCTCCCGCTATTGAGAGGCGGGAGGGGGCAGAAAGATTGTATAAGTGGATTCTTAGGGATTCATCTGCAAGGGTGGGTCTGGCCCCCAAACTAGGCAGCTCCAGTCTCAGAGGGTCCAGATTTCCCCCCCCCCGCAAAGATTTTAGCTCCTATCTGAGCACTTAAATGAAGCTGGCCAGACTTCCAAAAGTTCCCAGCAGCTGTAGAGCCCATGGGACTTGTCAAGTTTTGAAACAAAGCTGTGAGTGCTTTCTCCCACGCTGCCCCACATGCTTGGGAGAAGCTCCCAGTTAGCATCCCCAGAGCTATCTCATTAGCCGCCATCAAATCCCTCCACCAAACTCTCCTTTGCCATGTTGTCTACAAAAAACTTGACAACCGTTAGATTGCTGGTGTGTTGAGATCACTGCCTGTCAGGCTGACCATATCCCATGGTTTCCTTGTGGTCCCCCATCTAGCTGTTGTCTCTTGTCTTAGGGGGTAAGCTCCTTGGGGCAGGGACCATCTTTTTGTTCTGGGTTTGTACAGCACCTAGCACAGTGAAGTCCTGGACCATGCTTTGGGCTCCTAGACTCTGTGATAATACAAATAATAAATAATTATTAATAATGAACTCTTTGGGAAATCTGGCCATGCACGCACTGATCTCTACACAGTCCTGATGTTCAGTAACTTACCATCCCCAAACAGTGGATTTTCTTCTGTCTCTATTTGTCTGTGGTTTACATTACCATTATGCTAAAAATGCTATGAGTGGCTGGGCAGGACAGGGCTGCTACCCAATAGCTGCAGGAGAGATCTAGTTTTGTTGGGGAGTGGGGACTCACTGGTTGCAGGATGCTCTCAGGTCTGAAAGCTACCGCCCATGTCCCGCGAGGCACTGTCACATGATGACCTTGCAATTCAACCTGATGACCTTTGTACACAGATTGAGGATGCCTAGGACATGTGTTCTTGCATTATTTTCATTGCAGCATGACAACAGACACAATGCAACATGATAATGTCACACCTTCCCCTGTTTTGTTGCAATATGCCACTATGATAGCTTATCCCATTGGACAAAATCCAAAATGAGGCAACCTTTACAGCCCATGGCCCTGATCTTGGAAGATCCACGTGCAGGGACTCCATTCACCCAGAGCTCATTGCAGCATCAGGGCCCCATATGTAGCTCCCACCACCTCCCCATCTAACAGGGTGTGAAATTAACATGTGCGTTACAAAAATCTGTGGTCACTTGAGACTTCCTAGTTGTCACTGTATTGCATACCATGACCACTCAGAAATACATGGCAATAGGAGGGATTGAACTCTGATCTTTCTGCTTTTAAAGAAAATAACTCTCGGTGAACCTCCATAAACCACCAGTACATTACAGCTAATAGTGCACACTTGAGCAGTTCTAATTCTATCCAGAAAAGGGCAGTGAGCTACATAGTAAGAATAAATACTTAGCATACCTATGGTGTGTTCCACCCAAGTTGCTCAAAGCACTTTACAAAAGTGGATCTATATTATGAAACCATTTTACAGATGAGGAACTTGAGCCACAACAACAGAACTCAGCTCTCCTGAGGGCCAGTCCTATGCTCTCACCTCTACACTACACAGTTCCTTATGCTCTATTTTGTGGTATAGTTTCTTGATACCTGTAATTTACCTTCACTTTATTGGGTTCTCCCACATAGAGTGAGCCAAAGTATGACATGCAGGCTCTTGGGGCTTTTCAGCATCACTCAAAGACACCCTAATTCTTAATCGTAGAGAACACAGGGGACCCAGGGGCAAATGCTCCATCTTGATCTTCAGCACTGTGTGTTGGCAGAGCACTGGCCCTCCCCATCCAGCATCCTGTCTCCAGCTGTGGCCATCCTTGATGCTTCAGAGAAAGGGCTCACCTCCTCCCCGACCCCAAGAACACCAATTTGTGCATCGGGGGGAAAGGCCTTCCTTCGTTTCATAGATTCATAGATTCTAGTACTGGAAGGGACCTCGAGAGGTCATCGAGTCCAGTCCCCTGCCCGCATGGCAGGACCAAATACTGTCTAGACCATCCCTGATAGACATTTATCTAACTTACTCTTAAATATCTCCAGAGATGGAGATTCCACAGCCTCCCTAGGCAATTTATTCCAGTGTTTAACCACCCTGACAGTTAGGAACTTTTTCCTAATGCCCAACCTAAACCTCCCTTGCTGCAGTTTAAGCCCATTGCTTCTTTAGAGGCTAAGGTGAACAAGTTTTCTCCCTCCTCCTTATGACACCCTTTTAGATACCTGAAAACTGCTATCATGTCCCCTCTCAGTCTTCTCTTTTCCAAACTAAACAAACCCAATTCTTTCAGCCTTCCTTCATAGGTCATGTTCTCAAGACCTTTAATCATTCTTGTTGCTCTTCTCTGGACCCTCTCCAATTTCTCCACATCTTTCTTGAAATGCGGTGCCCAGAACTGGACACAATACTCCAGTTGAGGCCTAACCAGCACAGAGTAGAGCGGAAGAATGACTTCTCGTGTCTTGCTCACAACACACCTGTTAATACATCCCAGAATCATGTTTGCTTTTTTTGCAACAGCATCACACTGTTGACTCATATTTAGCTTGTGGTCCACTATAACCCCTAGATCCTTTTCTGCCGTACTCCTTCCTAGACGGTCTCTTCCCATTCTGTATGTGTGAAACTGATTTTTCCTTCCTAAGTGGAGCACTTTGCATTTGTCTTTGTTAAACTTCATCCTGTTTACCTCAGACCATTTCTCCAATTTGTCCAGATCATTTTGAATTATGACCCTGTCCTCCAAAGCAGTTGCAATCCCTCCCAGTTTGGCATCATCTGCAAACTTAATAAGCATACTTTCTATGCCAATATCTAAGTCGTTAATGAAGATATTGAACAAAGCCGGTCACAAAACAGACCCCTGCGGAACCCCACTTGTTATGCCTTTCCAGCAGGATTGGGAACCATTAATAACAACTCTCTGAGTACGGTTATCCAGCCAGTTATGCACCCACCTTATAGTAGCCCCATCTAAATTGTTTCGAGTGTGGCTGAGTAGTTGTTCCCAGATGAGTCCTCAATAACAGCTGGCAGCTCAGATGTTGTGTCACCTGGATGAGAAACATGGGACTGAGAATCAGAAAACCTGGGATCTAGTGTCAACTCTACCACTGACTTGCTGTGTGACCTCGGATAAGTCCTGTAGGTCCAGATTCTGATACCTTTACTTTGTGGGCTGGCCCCTCCCTCCATGAGTTTCTCTATTGGCTTCTCTCGGACTAGCTGAGGAGTAACAGCACTCTCCAATGTGAGTCAGGGTGTGAGAAAGTGGCGCTTGACCTTTTGGGGCCTTAATTTCTTTGTGTGTGAAATGGGGGTAATGATACACAGGAAAGGAAGGATTGTTGAAAATAATGGACACTAGACAATAATTCCTGTATCTGAGTCCATTGCAGCCCTGGTAGCACTGAACATTGTGAGTTCCCCTCTTCAGGTGATTCTAGTGATGCCAGTTGAAACCTCATGCTCCCTTTCTTTTAGAAATGGACACCTCTACATGCATGAGTGTGTGTGTGTGTAAACATGCACAAATTTCTGTCTTGAAATTTTGGGCCCAACCCTGTTCCCATGTAAGTCAATGGGAGTTTTGCCATTGACATCAATGGGGGAAGGATTGGGATGTTTCCTTCCGAAGAATGTCGATGGAGAGTTTTTCTTTAGGGCTAATTTGCTGGCATTGAGGTCTTTCTTTCTTTCTTTCTTTCTTGTAAACAACTGCATTGACATACTTATTATGGGGAGAAAACCCCAAATAAGGATTTACATAGATTCTATAAAGAGAGATTTTAAAAAAGCTCACATTTTGGTCTCGGTGCCCATTTAAATCAAGATTTTTATTACTCCATGTGGATAGTGCATCTTTGAATACCAGCTTCTACTTTCGTATTGATTTCTGATTGACTGATACAGGTTTAACAATCACAGTAGCTTTATTTGTACTGTCTGAGAAGTTTTGCTAATTATGTTGTTACAGACAGCGGCGTTATATCTAGGAAGCAGCTTGAGGACAAAGCGCAAAGCCAGCAGGTCAGTGATGTCCCCATTGTGATGGCGTGGTGCTGCAGGGAGCTGCATTGCCCTGCATGTCACAATGCAGAGCTGATGCGGAGTGCTGCACTTGGAAAAAGCTGAACTGCACGAATCCTGCTGAGGAAACTCAATGGCCTCTTCTGAACATGTGATCATTGAATGCAAAGAAACCTTATGTTAATGCAACATTAAGGAGGAGAATCTAAAAATGCACCAAGGTCAGAAAAGAATGAAGCTACAGTCCTCACACCAACGTTAACTGAGCCAAACTGCACAGCTGTGTGATTTTCACTGAGCTGTATTGCAGCAGTGCCTTAGTACAGGATTTTGGATCACAGTCCATGCTGTTAAATGCACACCTCAATGTACTGCACAGAAGCAATGTGGCTGAGCTATCTCACAGTGGCGTGATGGTTTATTATTCTCCAGCCTCTCTTGCGTTGTTATTCTCCATCTTATTCCATGAACCAGAAGAGTTTGGTTATTCAGTAGTGCGTGAAGTAACAGCTATGTATATCCCTTACCTACCTCACAGGGTGGTGCAGTGACGCACATTTCATGTTGGTGGGTGCTTTGAGATCCTCAAGGAAGGTGATATTGCTATTACTATGTTATTGTTTATCTTACAATAGCATCTAGAGGACCCACCTTGAGATCAGAGCCCCATGGGGCTTGGTGCTGTATGCACACACAGTAAGACACAGTCCTTTCTCCAAAGAGCTTACCATCTAAATAGACAAGACAAACAAAGGGTGGTAGGAGTAGGAGAAGTGACTTGCCCAAGGTCACATACCTGGTCAGCAGCAGAGCCTAGATCTCCTGAGTC